GCTGACTCTGCAAAGCAGTGAGGTCTCTTCCAGGAGTGGTTTTATTCTCAACATAAAAGGGCCCTGCCTTGAAACCTGAAGGACTTTATAAAACATCAAAATGGATATTCGGGCTGGGAGTGGAAAGGTGAAGCAAGGCTGGGAAAAAACTAATCACCATATCAGGATATCATTTAGAATGAATGAAATAGGAACTCATTTTTCCACAGGTTCTTATACAGGTCAATTAAGAAATCATGTTTGTCCTGTGGCCCTTGCATCGGGTCTTTTGTGCCAATGGAAAAAACTGACAAACATACAAAACCCAATCCTTTTAATCCCAGTTTTATATCTCGCTCCCCCAAACCTAAAGAGCTGGTCTTCTGTGGCAATAACGGTGCTTGCAGCACGTTAAATACCAGCTCCACTCTGCATTTAGCAAAGTGTGGGCAAAGAGCAAAACTTCAAGCAATGGTGTCAGAAAGGGCAAAGGGTTGTTCAAAAGTGATGGCTGGTGACATGCACCTTGTGGACCAGGCATTATGTCCCATCCACCCTGGAAACTCCCCAGGCACTGAAGAGGTTGATGATAGTCAGAAAACTCCATTCTGGTCAGTGAGAGCTTTACTCCCTGCAAAGTGACGTGCATGATAAGGGACAGGGAAATTGGAATAGGAATTCAATCAATTATCCTTACATAACCCTCCAGAGAAAGTGCTCCGTCTAGCTGACTTGGGAATGGATGTGCACATGTGCATACAGTCAGAGGACAGAAGGTATTTACAGATGGTTGCTGTGATTGTGTAAGTCTTGCACCATATTTCATAAGAGCGTTCAAGTTTCTGTGCCAAAGGCTCCCAAATTCCCATACTGGGTTGGCAATGAGGACTGTTCGGAGAAATTGTGTGTTTGGGGTATTCAGAGTGGGCTCTGTTGTTACAGCAGGAATGATGCAAGAGTTTGGGTGGGGCTATCGATTCCTCAGGGCCCCTCATGGAGACTCTGGCAGCCCTCTTCCCTGAGCTGAATTGCTACTTCTACTAGGACAGTGAGTTGAGGTAAAGGGAACTTTTATAAAAGGACATTTGTTGGTGTCCCAAAACACCAAACTGTGGATCAAGGTGGCCACCTTCCAAGCTTCTTGTTAAACATCAAATGAATTTAATTTCCCCCAAAGGGGATGGGAAAAATCTAAATCGATTATTCATTACTGTGGGTTCCTCCAACATAAAATATAAATAAGTAACATTTTATTTCATTGAGCCCCTTAATAAAGAAGAAAGTAAAACAGAGATCCTAATACTTCAGATTCATAGGACTAGAAGGGGACTTTAATCATTTAATCGAATCCCTTCACTTTTTCTATGGGAGAAAATGGGTTGGGACATAAAGCGGCTTGTGTAAGTCATACAGCTAAAAATGGGTCAGTGAGAGTCTACATCAAATGTTCCCTCTACCAAACTAAGTTATTTCTTATCATCTCTACGTCATGGCCTGCATTAGCTGTGTTATGCTATAAAATTGGATACTATTCAATTAAGAGTTACTGTTATCTATTCTCAAACCAACCCTTGCACAAGCTTGTGTGATGGTTTACTAAGTTGTCTCTTTGCAAAGTAGCAGTGATACAAAGAATAAAAGGAAAGGAAGGGGAAGAATAGAAAATGGGGTTTTCCTTTAGAGAAAATCATAAGCAAATGTTTGCTCAATATTAACTCATTTATATTTAGCTTTGAACTCACTCCACCAAGGAGAATAATCTGCCTCTACTGCCATCTGCCTGGGTTGGCCTTGAAGAGACTCTTTTTGTAGAAAAGGTCTCCACCCTGGGACCATTCATTTTATTTGACAACTACATTTACCAAACCTTCAGAATTCTTTCAGACGCTTATGCCCCCAGACTCTGGTATTCTTATTTAAAGGGCAAGTACAACAATAACTGGAAATCTCATTTGGTCCTTTTTCTTGGCTTGAAATGAGTTCAGTTGGAGAACAAGCAAAGTGAACCTGTAGCCCAGACAGACACCTGGATGGCCCTGAGAGTTAGGGAGCAGCTCAGTGGGAAAAACCACCTCCACTAGGGTGTAACTGCTGTGCGCTTTTAGTCATCAAACCTGGCAAGAGCTGCCGAGACTTGTTTTTTAGGAGTCAGAACAACATACCCATGTGGATTTATTGCTGTGTTTCATGGGAAAATATTGCACAGGTGGCAGAAGCCTTAATTCTGACAAAAGCAAAAAATCATAATACAGATTTTGCTATTGAGAGCAAAGGAAAGTGTGGTATTTGCAAAACCATGGCAGAAGAGGGTTTTTTTTTTTTTTTTGCGGGAAGAGAGGGAGACCCAGTACATTGAGTTTCCCAACCACTTCACTCCAAAGGACTTTTTGATTAGCTACTTTGGCAAAGGACACACTTCTCTAAGCATGAGTGAAACTGACTTGAGAGTACTTAATTAACTGGTCACTGGGATTCCTGGCATCACCTACCAGGAATCTCCCCATGAACTGAATTTTCCCTAAGCCAGTCTCAGATTCCATGAGTCTAAATCCTGAATCTAGGCATTCTGACACTCTTCCTTCTTGTGACTATCCAGACTGAGTAGCAGTCCAAGAGGAGAAATACGTATTTGTCTTTTATGGGGCATGCTAATTTCCACAGGCAACAAGATCATAGGCTGCATTTCCCCATACACTAAGAAACAAAATATCAGATCTGATAGCTCCGTGGTTCGGATCCCATCACTTAACATCCTATACTGGGGATTTGACTCTCTGATGCTGTTTGTATGGGAGTCATAGCTTCAAAGGTCTAAGGTAAAGTGTGACTTTGAGAGTCAAGCCACTCTTCTCACTTGAATTGGAATCACTGAATTTCAGTGAGTGATTAAATGATGATTCCAGTTGAGTTTCCCAAGGGCAAGAATGAGAAAGGATTAACATCTACTCAGTTGGCTTTCTCTGGAATGATTTTGATTCCTGAAAAAAGTGAATGAGCCTATAATAAATTCGTGTTGCCAAAGGCCTGATGCACGGGCCGTATGGGCTGCTGTGTACGTATCTACCCTGCTGTCTCTGTATGTAAATGTAACAATTATGCATCGTCAAATATCAGTGGACTATTAAAAGCATTCACAGCTATGTTAGACCTATTAGGACAAATCTGTACATATTACTGACAAGTTATACTTATGCTATTTAGATAAAGGTTATTACAGGTCTACTCCGATCCGTCTGTTCTGCTTATGGCACATGTGCTGGGAAAGGAAATCCCCAATGGGAATGACATGGGGAGAGGAAGTGCAGCCTGAAAAAGCCAGAGGGCAAAGACATGTGTCAACTCTACGTATATCCTGAATTCACAGGCTGGTCCTGAGTGTAGAGAAATTGTTTATTTTTAACATGATTTATTGGATTTCCAGTTCAACATGACCTCCTAAGTCTATTCTCCTGAGACTTATCGCATATAGTCTCAAACCAGGGAAACCTTGTTTGCTCTGAATCCAGTATCTGTTTATATATTTATAGGCTAACAAGATAGCTCGGAAAGAAGTGAAGACAAAACAGCCCAGAAAGATTTTTAGGCAGAGTTTTGAGAAATCAACCCTGTGACCGCTCCTTTGAGAAACACGAGAGTGTATACGAGTGTCAAGTTGGCCTTCCACGGCAAAAACCCGTGCTGCAGCCTTCTATTTACCATCAGAAAGCTCTTGGGAGCATTGTTTGAAGACAATCCCAGCCAGTGTCACAGCAAAATCTAGGAATTGTCCTCCTGGCCCATAATGCCTACTGTCAAGGATATGTTTTCCGCTACTACATTTGCGCGTATCTTTGGCAATCCTGTTAACTGCCCACTGAGTGAAAATGAAGACCAATGTCATTTCAAAAACAAAAACAAAAACAAAATCTGCTTAATACTGTCCATAGTGATCCTTATCCAAAAATAACTAGGGTTTAGGAGACAAAAACAGCTAGAATCTCACATCTCTTGTATATGCCGAAGGTGTCTGATTTGGAAGAGAGAAGTCACAAGGAGCAGGTATTTGAAGCCACCAACCCCCTCACCTCAGAGAATTTGGGTTCTGTAATCATGAATCTCTCAGCATCCTTCTGCTGATCTCAAATGATAAGCCTTACTCCTACCTGTGGACGAGGGTCTACACACTCTGTGGAGTCAGTGGTGCTTTGTTTATTAGTGATTCAAGTCCCCAGCTCACTCTCAAACCCAGCAACCTTAGGAAAATACTGTGTGTTATTCAATTAAAAAATGATAGTAGAGACCTCACACATTTAGCTTCTATACCCAATCATTAAGGATTCTCCGGCTGCCTGCCACTTGCAAGGCAGTGTGCTATGTCTATGGTATTATTTATCCCTTTAGCCTTTCACAGCCTTAAACAAGATTCCACCTGTGAAGCTGTCTAGAGTCATCCTTTGTTCTCACGTCATGGTTCAAGCCTCCCTAGACTCTCTCTCATAGCAGTGTCACCTTTACAGAATTGTGTACAGATGTTTGTTTTCTATCCCTTTCCACTGAGAAGACTGAGGAGGAAGACTGGCCCTGCTTCCACCTGTGTCCTAAAACTGGTTTTCTATGCTTTGATACAACACAACACAAAGCTTTCTACGCATTAGGGAAGTATCAGGGTTATTTTGTTTTGCTTTACCAAGAGATGATACGAAAGAGGCACAGTCAACACAAGTGTCCTCCAGGTGCAAGGATGCTAAAACGATCGGGTCTTCTAGGTTGATGAGAATAGGACTGAAATAGTTTGCAGATTAAAGATGTCTTCTTAGGGGACGGTGCCTGTGACTCAAAGAAATAGGGTGCCGGCCCCATATAACGGAGGTGGTGGGTTCAAACCTGGCCCTGGCCAAAAATAGCCAAAAAATAAAAATAAAAAAGACTTCTTAGATAGAAACCCCCCAAAAGAATCATATGGGCAAAACAAAGACAAAAAAAAAAAATGGACCACAGAGTTTCACTGTGCCAGGTGAATGAAAACCAAACATAAATGGATCTGAATATTTAAATCTGGTGAAACTTTATGTTGACTGTGCTCTCTTACTTTTGTCAATATGTACAGGGGTTATCTGTAAAATACTTCTGAATCCATGATCACATTTAGAGACAATTATGAAACATACTCTGAAATTTCAAGCATTATTCACACGGAGTAGTTAGGGTAGGACAGAAACACAATGGGCCCCATAATCAGCTCCTTTCAGAGTCTGGCTCCCACTAAAACTCTCTTTGAAACATTTATGTTAAAGAGTGCCTAGACGACAATTTGTTAGAGTTCCCTAAGACAGGTATTTGCTTTTAATCAATGCATGTGCAAACTCTGTAAGACGTTTGAGGGGACTTCCTTCTAGAGGCTTCTAACAGAATCTCTTGTGCACAACAGGGGGCGACAGGGAGAACACTTTAAGGAATGACAGGCGTTGCGTTTGCTCATTTTCCCAGGTCCCCGGAGTGTACCACACCGCGTTAGTCACGGCTCCTGGGAAAAGAGCATCCGTGTTTCTGCATCTTGACAGAAAAGGGAAGCTGGCAGGAACGTGTCTTCAACTCAGATTCCCCCAGCAGCATCCATTCGAACCATCATAATACCAGTGAGGAAATTAGACGATTATAAAGCGTTATTTGGCAAAGACACAGCACCGTGCCTGTCATCACTGACTTACAATAACTCCTCTAAGCCTCAGCTAACAGATTAAGTAAACATAGAAATAGATGCATTTTTTTTTTCCTTTTTTAAGAAAGCTTGTTTATGTCATCTTTTACCACAAGATACGCTGGGGAGCTTATGCAAGAATTTGCTGAGAGTCAGATTCTTATTTTTCACGTTTCCAAGGTTCTTCCTCAACACTGCAGTCGGCTGACTTTCCATTGGCTGCCAGAGTTACCTGAAAATAATTACCATCAGCATCCGCTTACAGTCCATGAACCAGAAAAAAGTCCAGGGGGTTATGTGGAGAAGCACCAGACCCAAGGTTACACATGGACTACGTGATCGAAATACTAGTTTTAGATGGAGTTCCCTCCAAGTTGAATTTGAACTTGTCTTGATTTTCAACAGTGATTTGTGAATTTCACAAATCCACCTTTGCTTTAGGGGTATTGAGAGACTACAGATACTTTGCAATTTGGGAATAACGTCTTTGTTTTTAGGGTTGTGAGGTGTCTAACTCCTCATAGACCCATCAAACGTTCACATAGTCCTTAAAATAGAATGCCCATGTGTTCCTCCAGACAACCACAGAGAAAAATACCCAGAACTAGGCAGCTAGTTCTACTCATGCATGTGAAAGGTTCAGTTGCAATGAGGCCAGGTGGACTTTATGCATATCAAGTTTTAAAAACAGAAATCGTGAGGGCTTGGCTCTACCAAATACGTTATCTCAGCTTTAAACATTAAAAAGAAAAGGGGAGGGTGAGTGAAAGGCTGAGGTCAGTGACAATATCTAGCTAAGTCATTTCACTGCAAATATTTCATCATTAAATAGAATTAATAACCAGACCGTTTCCATCATTGTCCTCTGGCTCAAGTGAACTGAACCCTTACGTAGAATAGGAGGTACTCGCCTCCACTTCTAAGTCGTTTTCCTAGCTTACCTTGTATCTGTCTGTCCTCAACGTCATGTGCAAACTTAAACCCACGACTGATATTCCACATAATGGAGAGACTGGATTTATGGAAGCATTAGAATATGGAGATATGACAAACGCAGCAATGTTGGAAAGAAATCTGACCTTCTTACTCAAGTGGACGTGAAAAGCATGCATCGTGAGCACACACAACACGCGAGGAGCGGAGCAACAGGCGGCCTTCACGAACCAAGCAAATGAACAGAAAAACTATTCATGCCTCCGATTCCTGTTAGTCCCACATTTTTCTTAAGAGAGACCATGCAATTCACAATGACTGCTCCACATGCAGGAATTATGATTAAAATTAAAAAGCTATGGCATCATTTCAAACTACTATTACCAGGCAAGAGTTTCAAAACAGAGAGACCGGCGTAACATAACAATGAAGAGGTTAAAGTTTTGACCAGAGCTGTAGCAAATTTGTTTCCCTTTCAGTGAACTGTCCAGAAAGACTGCCAGGGACAGACTGTCGGCCTGGAGAAAGCTGCCTGTTCACCGTGACCTAGAATGTGCTTATTTGGTCCTTGCTAACGAACCCGATCAATAGCAGTGGAAAATAATCGATCACAGCGTGGTGCCTTTGGAAGAGCCAGGCAGCACGTGGGGGTAAGTGTTTTATGTTTTGTTTTTTATTTGTTTATGTTTTTTTTTATTATTTGGGCCTATGTTTCAAAAATTGTTGGGATAGCAGTTTTTTGTTTTGTTTTATTTATTTATTTTTTTTTTTGGCATTTCCTTTCCCGGCTGGGCTAAAAAAAAGCCAGGACTCCACTCCCCAACCCATTTCACCCCTTTCTGCTCCAATCACCTGGTTAACAGAAAAAAGAAAGGAAATAGCATTGGCAATAGGCCTTGACATCTCCCCTCTTGGTTTTTACAAAGAAAGCAATAGTGAGACCGAGAATTGATGAGGAAGAAGTTTAAAGGAATGAACCAATGTGTCCCTGATATTCTCAGAGAGTGTAAATACGCATCCATAGCTCTGCCTGCCTCCTTCCCAAGTTTAGTGTGAGAAGAGTCAACTCGCTTCACCTAGCAAAGGCTGAGGACTGCATAACCTTCACTTTGCTGAACCAAATCGCTTCATTAAAAATGCAAACCGCGAACATACTTATTGAACCAAAAGGGCCATTTCAATCATCTTCCACCTGCTAAGTTTGATCATTGACCATCTAAAGGCTAATTAGTCAAAGAGTCGGCAGGTGGCTGCTTGGATAGTCAATTTTATAGACAGATTGAACCTCAACCTATTTGGAACTACCCTAGCAAAAAGGTTCTCTGAAACACAGCAAGGAATAAAGATGCTACAAGAATACATTTAACAAATATTTACTGAGCGCCTATAACATGTCAGACAGTTTTAGGTGCTGGGACCCCGTAGGATAAATGGGGACAAAGTCTCACTCCTTGTGGGCTTACTTTGTGGTGGTAGGGATAATTCACAAACATCTTCCTTTAGAGTTTGGACTATTTTACTTTAAAAAAAAGTGAAAAAATTTCTCCTGAGGTACTTGATGTCTTTGAAAGGAAAAAAAAAGTAAATCCAGGAAGCCTGAAGTCTAAAGATGTCTCCAGGCCCACACACCTGCTTTTTCAAAACATGTCCTATATAATATTAGTAAGCCTCTTGAGAAGCTCCAAAAGGGCCATGAGCAATGAGCAATAGGATTCTTCTTACAATTGTGAAACTTTTTTTAAGTGATGATTTCATTTTGTTTGATATTCTTTCTCCTCGTATGGAAATAATTTGAGTTCAGGTCTTATCCCTACTACAACATGGTGCTTTATTCTTTTTAGTTTTTTAATTTTTGTTGTTGTTGTTGTTGTTGTTGTTGTCCTCTACTGCCTAATTCAGGGCTTTGTAGATAATAGGCACTCAATAAATACTTGGTGAATGATCTACACGTAGGATGTCATAGAAATGAGCTGGGGCGCTCCACTGAACCTGACAAGGCACACCGTCAGTGATCATTAAATATAACAGAGCATCAAGCTGCTAATCAGAATGTTGATGCTGGCTCAGTGCCTATAGCTCAGTGGCTAGGGTGCCAGCCACATAACACTGGAGCTGGCGGGTTCGAATCCAGCCCAGGCCTGCCAAACAACAATGACAACTACAACCAAAAACAGCTGGG